AACCACCTACAAATTGGCATATTTGTTTATTTCTCAATTTGTGAAAATGTCCTTAATTTGTTGATGTAGCAAATAAATTTCAACTCTGATTGCTATGCAAAAGAACAAAAGATAATCTGCTTTGCAGTGAACTTTAAAGTTCAACTGCACACAGGCAACATGCTATATATGAAAAAATTACTAACTCAACTACAGGTATTAAATACTGAAAAAAGTTAACAGTTTATTATAATTTATTTTATTTAACAATCTAGGAAGTTCACAGCCATCAGCAGTTCCAGTGCAATTTCAGGTGCAATTGGGAATTCAGGAATCTCTGTGGAGCTGTTAGTGTAGCAAACCTCGTAGGTAAAATACATGCACACTTTTGATAGCACATGTGAAGGAATCTCTCTAAAATTGACTTCATTAGTTTCGTTCTTTGCAAACTGACCTGGGCCACTCAACATGGCTTTTATTGTTCCAGATGTTAGTGCATGTTCTCTTTTTACAATAAATTCATGACCATCCGAAGATATCAATTTGATATACATGGCATCCGGGCCTTCACAGCCACCATAGGTTTTCTCTTCTCCATCCATTATGTTCTTATGAAATTCTACTTTACTTCCACAGGAACTTTAGTAGTTTCCTGGTGAGGCGGGGACGCAGTCCAATCTTATTAATTCTTTCAAAAAACAAGCTCCTAGTTTCGTTGATCTCTTCTGTTCTTTTGGTTTCTATTTCATTGATTTCTGCTCTGATCTTTATTATTTCTCTTCTCCTGCTGGGTTTAGGCTTTATTTGCTGTTCTTTCTCCAGCTCCTTTAGGTGTAGGGTTAGGTTGTGTATTTGAGACCTTTCTTGTTTCTTGAGAAAGGCTTGTATTGCTATATACTTTCCTCTTAGGACTGCCTTTGCTGCATCCCAAAGACTTTGAACAGTTGTGTTTTCATTTTCATTTGTTTCCATGAATTTTTTTAATTCTTCTTTAAATTCCTGGTTGACCCATTCATTCTTTAGTAGGATGCTCTTTAACCTCCATGTATTTGAGTTCTTTCTGACTTTCCTCTTGTGATTGAGTTCTAGTTTCAAAGCACTATGGTCCAAAAATATGCAGGGAATGATCCCAATCTTTTGGTACTGGTTGAGATCTGATTTGTGACCTAGGATTTGATCTATTCTGGAGAATGTTCCATGGGCACTAGGGAAGAATGTGTATTCTGTTGCTTTGCAATGGAATGTTCTGAATATACCTGTGAAGTCCATTTGGTCCAGTGTGTCATTTAAAGTCTTTATTTCCTTGTTGATTTTTTGCTTAGATGATCTGTTCATTTCGTGAGGGGGGTGTTAAAGTCCCCCACTATTATTGTATTGTTGTCAATGTGTTTCTTTGATTTTGTTATTAATTGGCTTATATAATTGGCTGCTCCCATGTTAGGGGCATAGATATTTACAACTGTTAGATCTTGTTGGATAGACCCTTTAAGTAGGATATAGTGTCCTTCTTCATCTCTTATTATAGTTTTTGTTTAAAATCTAATTTGTCTGATATAAGGATTGCCACCCCAGCTTTCTTTTGGTGTCCGTGAGCATGGTAAATGGTTTTCCACCCCCTCTCTTTCAATCTCGAGGTGTCTTTGGGTCTAAAATGAGTCTCTTGCAGACAGCATATCTATGAGTCTTTTTTTTATCCAATCTGATAGCCTGTGTCTTTTGATTGGGGCATTTAACCCACTTACATTCAGGATAACTATTGTAAGATAGGAATTTAGTGCCATTGTATAGCCTGTAAGGTGACTGTTACTGTATATTGTCTGTATTCCTTTCTGGTCTGTGTTACTTTTAGGCTCTCTCTTTGCTTAGAGGACCCCTTTCAATATTTCCTGTAGGGTTGGTTTCGTGTTTGCAGATTCTTTTAGTTTTTGTTTGTCCTGGAAGCTTTTTATCTGTCCTTCTATTTTCAATGACAGCCTGGCTGGATATAGTATTCTTGGCTGCATATTTTTCTCATTTAGTGCTCTAAATATATCATGCCAGTCCTCTCTGGCCTGCCAGGTCTCTTTGGATAAGTCTTTTGCCAATCTAATGTTTCTACCATTGTAGGTTACAGACCTCTTGTCCCAAGCTGCTTTCAGGATTTTATCTGTCTCTGAGACTTGTAAGTTTTACTATTAGATATTAGATACTATTAGATCTATTTTTATTGATTTTGAGGGGGGTTCTCTGTGCCTCCTGGATTTTGATGCCTGTCTCCTTCCCCAAATTAGGGAAGTTCTCTGCTATAATGTGCCCCAATATACCTTCTACCTCTCTCTCTTTCTTCTTCTTCTTCTGGGATCCCAATTATTTCATATTGTTTCATCTTATGGTATCACTTATCTCTCAAATTCTGCCCTCGTGATCCAGTAGTTGTTTATTTCTTTTTTCTCAGCTTCTTTATTCTCCATCGTTTGGTCTTCTATATCACTGATTCTCTCTTCTGCCTCATTTATCCTAGCAGTTAGAGCCTCCATTTTTTATTGCACCTCATTAATAGCCTTTTTGATTTCGACTTGGTTAGATTTTAGTTCTTTTATTTCTCCAGAAAGGGTTTCTCTAATATCTTCCATGCTTTTTTCAAGCCCAGCTAGTATCTTTATAATTGTCATTCTGAACTCTAATTCCAACATCTTACTAATGTCTGTATTGATTAGGTCCCTGGCAGTCAGTACTGCCTCTTGTTCTTTTTTCTGAGGTGAGTTTTTCCATCTTGTCATTTTGTCCAGAGGAGAACAGATGAATGAGAGAACAAAATGCTAACAGGGTAACAACAACCCAGAAAAATATACACTAAACAAATCAGAAGAGACCGGAAACCAGGGAAAAAGAAAGGGAAAGAAAGAAAGAACAAAAAAACAAAAACAAAAACAAAAGAAAGAAAAGACAAAGAAAAAGAAAAAAAAAAGAATATGGTCAAATATGATCAGGCTGGTGAATAGATGAGTGCCACACACTAGATTTTGGGCGTATTTTGGTCTGTTAGAAGAAAGTGCCTCCCAAATTTTTAAAGAAAGAAAAACTTATATATGTACTAAAATAAGGGTAAATACAATGAAGGGATAGAATACGATTGTAAAGATGACAATTATAAAATTTTATAAAAGGAATTGATAAGAAGTTGGTTGAAAAAAGAAAGAGGAGAAATTAAAAAAAGGGGGATGAGAGAATGTGATCAGGCAGGAGACTAGAACAAAGCCATACACTAGAGATTTAGAGTATATTTTGGTCTGTTAGAAGAAACTATATCCCAAAATTTTAAAGAGAACAACTTATATATATACCAAAAATAGGGTTAACTACAATGAAGGGATAGAATATGATTCTAAAAATGAAAGATAAAAAAGATTTTTAAAAAAAGGGATTGATAAGATATTGGTTGAAAAAGGGAAAAAGAAAAATTTAAAAAAATAGAAAAAGAAAAAAAAGAAAATTAAAAAAATTAACTTTGAAAGACTTAAGAATCATGGGAAAAAAGCCATGAATTCTATGTGCAGTATTCCCCTAGCTCTGGAGTTCTGCCATTCTCATTGATGGGTAAACTTGGTCTTGGCTGGCTGTTCTTGCTGATTTTCTGGGGGAGGGGCCTGTTGCCATGGTTCCCAAATGTCTTTGCTGGAGGTGGAATTGCCCCGTCCTTGCCAGTCCGGGCTAAGTAATCTGCTCAGGTTTGCTCTCGGGAGCTTTTGTTCCCTGCAAGCTTTCCGTTCAGCTTTGGAGGCCAAGAGTGAAAATGGCAGCCTCCCAATCTCCACCCCGGAGGAGCCGAGAACTTGGGCCCCGCTCCTCAGTGAGCCCCCAGAGAAAAGCAATCACTTCCATCTCCCCCGTCTCCGGCCACTCTCCGTGCTCACCTGGCCTGTGACCCAGCATTTCTGTCTCTGGCACCCAACTCAGTGTGGAGTCTCCAAACCCAGCAGATCCCTGTGGTGTGCTCCCGCGCCACTCCTCCCCAGGGGAGGAAGGAGAGTCTCCCCGGATCTGCCACTTGTTGGGTCCCTGCTGGAGGAGCAATGGCCTGACTGTGCTGCGGACCACGGTTTATGGCAACCCCGACCTGAGAGCCCACACCTCGACTCCATCTCTGCAGCCGGCTTCCCTGCTCTGACACCTGGGAGCTCTGCCGCACTCAGGCACACCCAGTCTTTCTGTGACCCTGAGGGTCCTGAGACCACACTGTCCCAGCAAGGGTTCCACCCCCTGCTTAGCCACTGGAGTGACGTCTCTCAGCGGAGCCAACTTCTAAAAGTTCCGATTTTGTCCTCCGCGGCTCTATCACTTGCGGGTAGCGGCTGACAGAGGCCCCCTCCCCCACTGTCTATCCTCCGGAATATCACCTTGGATTCACTTCTCCGCATGTCCTACCTTCCAGAAAGTGGTCGCTTTTCTGTTCAGAGAGTTGCTGCTATTCTTTTCTTTGATCTCCTGTTGAGTTAGTAGGTGTTCAGAATGGTTTGATCCCTATCCAGCTGAATTCCTGGGACCAGATGAAATTTAGGTCTCCTACTCCTCTGCCATCCTGCTCCTCCCCCAATTTTTTCTAAAAAACAAAATGCAACATTCTAAAAAACCCAAAATTTACTATTGATACTAATTCCTACAAGTTTGCTGTGCTACAATACACAAGTCAAGAAATTAAGAGAACCATTAAATATTTAGAAACATTCAACATCAGAAGCTTTAAAATCTAACTGTATGTAGTAGCCCCTCAAAAAGCTACAACCTGCATTTTTAAAAAAGTATTTTCTCTACAAAGGATCTTATCAGCTACACAAAAATCTATACAGTTTTTTATTGAACCTAATATTGAGCTGCACTTGAATTCACATTCTTAGCAAAACAATTGCCTGAGCACACATGCACACTCCACACATATCATTACAGGATAGCCATTTATTCTTCTCCTCCTCTTCTTCATCATCTTCATCTTCGTCCTCCTCTTCCTCTTCCTGCTCATCCTCTGGTTCATTCTTTTCTTTGAACCTGTTGGCCTGCCAGGACCCTTCTTTCCCGCTTCACTTTTGCCCTTGGCGTGATAATGCAGCAATATCCTTTTCATATTTCTCCTTTAGCTTAGCTGCTTTCTGTTCATATGGTTGTTTATCTTCCACTAACTGTTCAGACCATATCTCACCCAATTTTCTTTGCAGCATCCCCAATGGATAAACCAGGGTGTTCACTTTTGATCTTTGGGCGATGTTCAGAGCAAAACAGGAAGAAAGCAGATGGACGCCTTTTAGGAGCATTGGGATCTTTTTTCTTTTCCTTCTTGTCACCTTTGGGAGGAACATAATTTTTCATCTCCCTGTCATAGCAAGCTTTGTCACTTTTTGCCATATCTTCAAATTTCGACTTTTCCTTTGCAAACATCGTCTTCCATCTCTCTGAACATTTCTTAGAGAATTCAGCGAAATTGATGGAAGAGTCTGGGTGTTTCTTTTTGTGCTCTTCTTGGCAGGTCTGCACGAAGAAGGAGTATGAGGACATCTTGCCCCACGGCTCGTTGGGGTCTCCTTTACCCATGGTGACAGACGGTGCCTACCTGGTGGTAGCTTTTCCTCAGAGTCCTGCAGAGAGGCCTGATCCAACAGGGACGCTTCCTTCCCCAGGCTCCAGCATGAACTGGATTATCTGTCTTCTCTGGCTTTAATTGAGCATTTTATATGATTACACCTTTTCTCTTCAGCATATCAACTATACTACTTTTTTTTTTTTTTTTTGCTTTTTTTTTAGTGATTGCTCTTAGGTGTGCAAATACAATTTCAACTAATCTTTCAAATGACCATTTCAAATATCCACTTCATGGATAGTTTACATACCTCATATCAGAGTATTACACATTATCATCAGATCATCATATCAGAGTATTACAAGAGTTGTCACACATTTCACTTATACATAACTGAAAAATTGTTGCAATTATTGTTTTTGATCAAACTCTTTTCTGTTAGATCAATTAAGAATAATAAAAATAAAAGATCATATTTTACCCTCATTTTTGCCTTTTACCCTCATTTATGTCTTCTGTAATGCTCTTCCATTCTTTATGTAGATCCAGGGTTCTGGTCTATATCATCTTCCTTCTCTGTGAAGAATTTCTTTTAACATTTCTTGCAAAGAAGATCTGTTGACAAATTCTCTCAATTTTTGTTTGAGGAAGTCTTTATTTCTTTTACTTTGTTTTGTTCTTTTCCCCTCCACTTTAAAATATTTTTATTTTTCATTGTGATAAAATACATGATATAAAATTTATAATTTAAACATTTTAAAGTGTACATTTCAGTGGCATTCAGTATATTCATCTGGTAGCTCAGTCATTCTCTTCTCCCCCATCCATATTCATAAATTGTTTCATCTTCCCAAACTGAAACTCCATACCCATTAAACAATAACTCCCCAGTCTTCCTCCACCCACCTCCTGGCAACCACCATTCCACTTTCTATCTCTATTAATCTGACTACTCTAGGTGCCTCATAAAATGGAATCAGGAAGTATTTGTATTTTTCCTTTGCTTTTGAAGAATTTAGCTGATAGAGAATCCCAGGTTGGTAAGGTGTTTTGTTTTGTTTTTTTAACACTTTATTTCACTCTACCCTCTTATTACCTGCATTGTTTCACAAGAGATATCTGATGTAATTCTTATCTTCATTCCTCTATAAATGAGGTGGGTATATTTCCTCTGGCTTCAATAAAGATTTTCCCTTTTCATTGATTTTCTGCAATTTGAATACAATATGCCTAGATGTAGATTTTAAAATACGTATCCTGCTTTGTATTCTCTAAGCTTCCTGCATCTGTGATTTAATCTCTATCATTAATTTTGAGAAATTCTCAGTCATTATTACTTCAAATATTTCTTCTTTTCCTTTCTCTTTCTTCTCCTTCTAGTATTCCTGTTACACATATGGTACAATTTTTATAATTATTCTATAGTTCTTGGGTATTCTGCTCTTTCCTTTAATTTTCTTTTCTTTTTTTTTTTTGTTTGGGAAGTTTCTACTGACATATCTTTAAGCTTCCTGATTCCTTCATGAGCCATGACCAATCTAATTATGCACCCATCAAAGGCATTCTCTGTTTCTCTTGCAGTGCTTTTGATCTCTAGAATTGTATTTTATTTCTTTCTTAGAGTTTCCATTTCTCTGCTCACATTGCCCATCTGTTTTTGCATGTTGTCCACTTTCCAGCAGAACCCTTAGCATATTAATCAGTTATTTTAAATTCTTAGTCTGATAATTCCAAATCTCTGCCATATCTGAGTCTGGTTCTGATAGTTGCTTTGAATCTCATACTGTCTTTTGTGCCTTTTAGCATATCTTACAATTTTTTGTTGAAAACCAGCCATGATGTATTGGATAAAAGGAACAGTATTGGCTCTAACAGCAAACTTCTGCTCTTGGAAAGCTATGATTCTCTGTGTCTGCTTCCCTCTCCAGTTTGGGAACAGCAGTTTCTCTGTGACCTCAACTCTCTGATGGATCTAAGAGGAATTGTTGATTTTTAGTTTGTTTAACTTTTCTCTTGTTGTCAGAATAAGAGTGATGACTTCCAAGATCTCTACATGTTGGACCAGAAACCAGAAGTCTCCAAAGGACTTTCATTGAACCTTTTATATATTTCATAGATTCAGTGAACATTTATGAAGCACTACTGGGTGAGATAGTATAGCCAACCTGCACCCCATACCCAAATGTCCAGCCTCTTCTGGACACCCAGGAGATTTGCCCATGTGAGACCTCCAATTTCTAGAGACCATGCACATGGGATTAGTAGGAAAGGAGAAAACAGACAAAGGAAGAGCTTTTAGTGAGGAAAAGAATCAACCCTACTTAGAGTTTTAGCCTAATCCTTTCTTAAAATTATAGCCAACCTCATGGCTGCCTAGCTCATCCTGTTTTGTTCCTAGTTATGGAACATAGAATATGGTAAACTGGCTATGCAACAATAAACCTTTTCCAGTTTCCTTGTATCTTCCCAAAGTTTGTTCTCCCCAACTTTCCCACAGAGAAAAAGAGAGCTGAAACATCGTGTGAGTCTGTACTTGTTTTAATATTCTAGTATCAAGTCAATTAGAAGATTTTCTTTCCTGGTAGTTGCATCCAAGAAGAAAGGGATGAGCTACTGACCAGATCCAAGAAGAGGTGTAATCCCATGGCCTGGGTTGCAAAAGCAGTTCAATGCTGCCCAATATCAGGCACAAAAGTATTGTCACCTTTCAGTAATTAGCATGAATAGAAGAGCATACATATTAGAATAGAATACTAAACCATGGGTCATCCAGTACAGAGAGGGAACACAATGCTGTGGGGGTGAAACTTTGCACTAATTCAAAATAATTTAACTCATAGAACTTCAAAATAGATTAAAATTTTACTTTTTCACTACTTTAGAGAAAAAATTTGCTAACAAATTAACAGTATAAAACTTCTCTTTGGAGAAGTACTAAACTGGAGAACAAACCTAAAATCTTTTAAAAGCATCTATGTGCATAAAAACGATGGTGATAGAAATGTTTACATCAATTTCCTAAGAACTTCTATTAGGCAATACATTTTTGTTTAGTCCTATTTTTCAATATATTCTTAAAAGCAATGGCTGTATCTCTTTCTAAGTACTTTAGAAACTTCTGACTAATTCAGAATGGGAAGAAAGAAGAAGGATTAGGCCAAACTGATAAGGCTTTTCTGTATATTTACATTAGGAAATAGGGTCATTTATAATAATTTATAATACCGCTAAATAAATAAAGTGATACAATAAAGACCCAACCAAGTAAGAATGGGCCAACTTTCTACCTTACTTCCACATAGGAGCTGCCCCTTTATTCTTTATTTCCCTAAAAGCTGCTTTATTCTTTCCACATTTCATTTCTCAAATTGAATTATTTCATCCTAAGTAGTAGAAGTAACTAGGAACAAAACGGGATGAGCTAGGCAGGATTAACTGTGACAGGAGAAGTTCTCCAGACTATTAAACCACCTAAATCTTTAAGGTGACAGATACGCTGTTTTAAATCAGCCAAATCTAAATGAAATAGAAGGAATAAAGAGATTCTGAGAAATATGTTTCAATAAACAAGGGCAAAATAAACCCATGCAGCAGCTTTGAGCCAAAAGTTTTTTCCCCAGCTTCTCCTCAAATGTTCCTCAGGACATTCTAAAGTCTCCCTGCAATGTCTTCAAGCTCAAACAGAAAACCTGGACACTTCTGAGAACAGGAGGTGGGAGCACCCCAGAAAGCCAGTTCCAAAGAGCCCAGGTACTGACTGACACAACAGGGAGCCCAGAAACAAATGGGGCCGCCAAACCTCAAATAAGCACCATCCCAGCTGAGATTAGCTGCTGTTGCCCCAAATTCACATTGCAACAACACCATCAGATTACAACCTGGCAAGACGAGAGAACCAGGCAAGGGCAGGGGAATGTGACACCAAAGTAGATTGTCAACTGTTGACATTTTTTTGTTGAGGGAGAAATGTCGTATCAAAATGGCATGGGGCGGGTGTTATACGCAAATAATGAATCATGGAACACTACATCAAAAACTAATGATGTAATGTATGGTGATTAACATAACATAATAAAAAAATTAAAATAAAAAAAAGGCATGGGGCAAAGATTGAGAAGTTACTACATTCCAGGCACTGTGCTTGTCCTTTCATACACCTGGTCTCATTTAAGATCCCAAAAATACTGAGATGCTAAAACATCCCCACTTTACTGAAGAGGAAAGAGTAAGAGAATAAAATGGAGAAGGACAAAGAGAGGGAAGGGGAGAAATCAGCTTTCACTGAGCACCTGCCCAGGTGCCAGGTCCTGTCAGGAACTTTCACCTGTTACCACATTTCATCTTCACATTTTTAAGATGGCAAGTTCACTTGTCCAGGATTCATTAACAAGTAAAAGCTGGGGCTGTGGCTGTAGTTAGGTCTTCCAAAGCCAGGATAGCATAGAGAGCAACTCAGAAGCCTGACTAGCCAGCTGACAGCTCACGCCACAGCCATGCACAGAAAAGCTGAAGGGAAGTAAAAATCACCATTGGAGAAGCAGTAAAATACAGCGTTGAGGGAGAGGTTCAATTAGAGGCAAGAGAGAGCAGATGAGTGGAGGCTAATGGGAGCTTCCAGGAGGGCGCATTCAAAGGTAGCAGCCTGTAGGGAACAATTATGAAGTTGGAGACTGAATGATACTCAGTCTGAATCTTAGCTCTGGCACCTAGCTGGGAGACCTCTTAAGTCACAAGTGTCTCCCTAGGGACAGTATTACCTGCTTTGTGGGACTGTTGGAAGGTAGGGATGATGCCTGTTCCATGATATTTATTAACAAGTGATAAAAACATTATTATTATATTATAATCCGTGGAGTATGGCTGGATTTGGCTGGGAAGCAGAGAGGGACCGCATTTCTATTGCTGGAACTTTTAGGAAGCAGGAAAGCTGAGAGATCCGGAGGCTCCTCTTCACTCTTCATGGGGCCTTCTTTTCCATCCTCTTGCATTTCCTCTCATGCCACCCAGCACTCAG